TCTCATATATGAATAAGTGGCTTGGCATGACATGTGCTAAGTCGGACTAAGACAATTTTGAGCCAAGTATGAGCAACTCCTGAAATGTTAACAGTCTTCCTCCCTGAAGCCAAAGATAATAATTTTGACCTATACTTGGGATCAAGGTAAAAATAAATGGAAAAGGATCCTACTATATGTGATGAAAAAGATTGGAACGTCCCTAATAGAAGTAGGAAAAAGAAATCAAACATCAAGTAACAAAAAAAAGAAAAAGAAAAAAAAAACATTTCTCCAATGCCTACAAAAGACTAATACATGTGAGAGATGTGTCCATATGCTGCCAATCAACAATGGCAAAATCMACACTAAAACCTGTTTTCAACATACCCAAAATTCACCACTTGTGCTATTTAACCATAACCATACATTCTTACTCTTCTCTCTTCTTCTTTTTCTTATCTTTCTTCTTACTTCCCTTTTCACTTTCACCTTCACCTTCACCTTCAGCTTCTGCATGTTTTCTCTTCGTTTTCTTCTTCACTCCATCCTCCTCTTCCTTTGCCACTTCAGCAGCTTCCTCGGCTGGACGCTTCTTTTTCTTTTTCTCTTTCTTTTTACCAACATCTTCATCTGCAGCTCCATCTTCTGTCACACCCACTTCTTCCTCAGCAACACCCTTCTTCTTCTTCTTCTTTTTGTCCTTCTTCCCTTCATCAACAACTTCTGATACCATCTCTTTGTCTTCCACAACCTCTGCTTCTATCCGCCCAAGAACAGAATCTGCTGCTATATTGTAAGTCTGCAGAACATACCAATATCAATTTAGTATAATACTAGAGGGGATATTGAATTTAACAAGATAACAGGAGTGAAACAAGACCTTGGCAGGAGTTATCATTGCTCCATTCCCTTTCTTGAGATCTTTGTGGTAAACCTCAATCTTGGGTTTGCCTTTAGTTGATCCAGCAGAACGCCCAAGTTCTCSCCCTTCAAGATTCCTTAGTCTTGCTTCAAGCTACAATATTTATTTGAATCTTCACTCGGGTTAGCCAGAGGGGGGGGGGTGCTAGACAGACATTATCTTATATGCCTGCACATTATAACCCTCTAACATATATAGGTACATGTGCCAATAGACAATGATAGAAATGAAATTTAAGCATTGAAATCAATGGAACAAAGTTGTTAGCTGTTCTTACAGATGCATAGTTGTCATAATATGGCTCTGTTAGCTGTTTTTACAGATGCATAGTTGTCATAATAGCTTATAACTTTTATGTACAGTCATTTTAACACCCACAGTTAGTCCTGCAAAACCCAAACACATATACATATCTAAGGAAAATGTCCATATTGGTCAAAACCAATTTTGTCAAAAACTCAAAGCTGTCCAAAACCAAAACTGGCAGAAACTCAAAGCTGTCCAAGTTAAGTAGTGTAGCATCATCAACCACTAAAATCACAAACTAATCATTTAAGTAGGTGTTTCAAAAAACATTAAGCAATGATTAAATTGATCTTTTGTAAATTTTGATGCTATTCAAATACATAAGTACAAGCATTACCTATTAATCTATTTGTATTTTAAATGAATGTCATTATGTTTTGTCTTTGAATGACTTTTGTTAGAAAAGTTTTTTATTTATATGAGATTTTGTTGACTTTGTTTGCAGTTCAAGAATTTGCTGGTTTGTTACTATTGGTGCAACCCAATTGTGATGAAAGGGAGGTTAAGGATTCCTTGCCAGTAGTCACAGACARAGATTTAGYAATCCTTGCCATACTCTGTAGTCTGTAGATGCTTTATAAGTCATAACATCACAGAGAAGATTGTTTCATGTAATATCTTTCATCATCCTTACCTGAATCTCTCCAGCATTTTTTATTCATTAAGCACATGCTGTCTTTTTGCATTTGCATGAGGATCTGCAAAACCACAATGCACCAGTCCCATGTGAGCATTCCTTCCACAGTTCCACTAATACTTACCAGGATGTTAACATAATTCATAACTGAAAAGAACAAATTGCAGTGGACAGTATTTGCAATGATGATGCCGACAGATTAAGCAGATAAATAACTTTTACGACATATCCTAAAAGGATCATTGTTGTATTAGTATTAACACTGTTGAATACTACATTAATATCAACATGACAGACCTGAGGTGATTTTCTAATCATCTGTTTAAGGAGCTAGCTGAGGATGTTTGAGATAAAACATGTATGTAATTCTTCTTTGTATTGGTCATGATCTGGATATGCCAAGTTTGTCCATTCAAAGGAGTTGAAATTCGAAGTTTGTACACATACTTAAATAACATCACATAGTTGTAGGTTCTTTTTAACTACTTTAATTGTTATAAGTTGTTTCCAACTTCTACCCACCACTAAGTTTCTATGTTCTTTCTCTGTTTTTCTTAGTCTGAGATTGACTCACCTTAAGTGTTGTCTAGGTATTAGACGAGTACCGAAAGAATTTTAGTGATTCTTGGAAAGCTGTTCAAGCAGATTGCAGTCAGGCATGGCCATATTTAGATGAAGCTTTGACCAAATTTCAGGTTTTAGTTCTATATTTATTTTCATTTTAGAATCCTCAGCAAGTCTTGTTCTGTAAGTTGATGTTGAACATAAACCTTTTTCTGGTTATACAAAGAGTGGGTGCTGGAAAGAGGGTGTTGATTTGTTTCATTACATGTTGGAAATGGATGCCAAATTTGATGAGGTTACATTGATTAGTGTTTTAACGGCATGTGGGAGAGTTGGGGGAATGGATTAAAGAGTACATAGAAGCAAATAGACTCAAAGGGAATGCCACTTTGGTCACTGCTCGTATTGATATGTATGCAAAATGTGGAAAAGTAGATACAGCTAGGAGTTTATTTGCAGGTCTGTCACTATCCAGTAACTCAAAGAAATCACGTCCAAAAGCAAACCGAAAATTGACTCATAATTGATACATTAAAATTATAAAATAGCTGGGCCTTGCATTCCTCCTGAAATTAGAGAATCACAAAATTTTCTAATAAAATTTTTCCCACCTTATATTGTTTGTAATACTCTGTCTTGCATGTGATGATAGATAGAGTTMYAATAWTCCTCCCAAAAAGTTTATACTAAAATAATAGGTTGGCAATTGAGCTGCTCCATACTCATGGTTATAGGGTGAAATTTATCTGTTCTTATGCCTACTTAACAAAATAATAGTAGACTGTCTCCATTGCAGGATTAGATATAAATTTTTGTCTTTGGTGGTCTAACAAGTCTTTAATATCCAATTTCTAATTTACTCTTACTTTGTCATTTGCTGGTGTAATCAGTAATGGAATTAGCATTACGTTAAATACTAAAATTGATCAGCCATTACTATTCTATAGTAAGGGGTTGTTTACTAAAAACTTACCCGATAATTGTTTATCAGTAAAATTCAACACTATTATTACTTATCGGGTAAGATTTTACTCCACGAAAACAGCACCGTATGCAATAATTTACCTGGTAAGCTCTTACCATGGTAAGAGTTGTCGCCTTCACTTACCGGGTAAGACTCTTGTTCCTTGTCTAAAAAGATTCTAAGCCAAGCAAAAGATGAGTACCTCCCATGGCCTGTTAAGAACGAACTAGCACCCTCCACCAAAGGTAACAAGATGGACTGTACATCTGCAGGAGCTTTATCAATGTCCTCAAGGACAACCCAAACCCCATTAAGGATAGCCTGTAGATAGCAAAGAACGGCATTAAAGCTAAGGCTAACATGAGCAAGACTCAACAAATTGATTGCTATGAAAAAAGAAATAAAAATGAACTAACCAACCTGAGTAAGGGAACCAGGCTGCCACCTAAATTCACCAGGTTGTTCAGCACATACGTAATTCTCAATTAGTGTTTTCCCATCAATTTGCTCATCCATGTGAATAAAAAGAACTGGAAGGGGAAAACATCTCATTTAAAAATAAACTACATAATATCTGTGAGAGAATTAAGAAGTTCAAACACTATAAACAAAAGCAGATTAAATAAAGAATGACAACACATACATAACCATCACAAAATAATCACCTCTCTTGAAGCATATACGTCAAAAGCATGAAAACAATATTACAAAGCAATTTATTTAATCATATGATAAAGGACTTTGTGCCCTCACCTTCAAAATAAATAAATAAACAATCATGAGCCATATTGGAAGTTGCTACTTCAGCTTGTACATGTTCTGTGCCAAATAGCACATTACTCTAGAAGATGCAGCAACTAAAATTTTAATAAAAGTTAACTTCCAGGAAATCCTCCATCAATGATCAACACCAATGGGGTGTCAATCAACCAAGACTAGATGGTTCTTCTTTTCTTTCATTATATATGTTATTGCTCCTTATAATTTAAGTGTGATTCCCGTATTTTTTAATATTAATATAGTATTGAATATTCTTTCACTGGGTTTCATAAGACATTCTGAATAGCACAGAAATACAAGAAATTTACACATCTGAATAAGTTTGTAACCACGAATGTTTCAATAACCGTTTTTTTTTTTGTGAAATTTCATAGCATTGTTAATTATCTTCTCATTTGACCGTAAAAAAAATCAATGAACATGGCTGAAACAGTAAATGACGACATGAAGCTTGCAGTTTATTTTGCTTGGCTCTATTTCATCCTCTGGAAAGGATTATGGAGAAAATCTTCTTTAACTTATTATTCATGACATGTCAATGCTTTGGTGTCAAGAATCAACATTCATGTGGCATCAATACAAATATATCTTTAACTTGTATATGTTGGTGTTCTTCTATAATGCGTTTCTTAATGAAATTTTGGATTATTTGTATTGTGTAGGTTATTTTAGTGGTACTTGTCTTTGAAAATAACTTGACATATGATATATCTTCATGAAATGGTTATGGCAACAATTAGCTTTGAACACCTTATAAAGACAGACAAGATATTTAGATATTCAATTTGAGTTTTTACTCGACTAAACCTCAATCGAGCTATTTTTCTTCTTACAGTTGTGTTTATATGGTGTTGCATTGATCTTGAGTTTTGTCATAATT